TCCCCCAATGAAGTATTTTTGATTCTAATTCTGATATTTCCAGAGCTCAAATTATGGACCTGGAGCCGTGGTTGCTCATGTATCTACAGTGCTGCATCTGGAACTCTGAGGTTGATCATTTGGAAAGCTTTATATCTGGTCTTCTCTGACAATGTTTAAGTTTGAACATGGATTTTTCTTTCATGTAGTTGCTTCCTTATCTAACACGATGAGTGATGATTCTTGGGTTAAGTAGTTCATTGCAGTTCTGTTGGACTTCCACTCCCTCCTCCTGCAGCTCCTTAAAGGTCCAGCCTGACCATGAAGACAGTCCTGTGTGTTGTCATGCCTTTGCAATGGCAGCTCTCATAGCTCTGCAGTGGTGCGAATTGAGAGCAGTGGGAAAGATGCAACACATGGAGCTGCAGAGTCTGAGCCTTCCTCCAGGGAATGCCTCGGCCACTGAGATGGACAGGCGCTGCTGGCTGAGGAGGAATCCACTCGTTTTCCTTCTCAGTAACCCTTTCCCTTCTGCTTTCAAATCAGTGAAAGCCTCCTTCTTCTTTCTTCTTCCTCCTGTGACCACACCGTCAAGTGATTCCAGTACAGTTATTGTATTTTACAAGTAAGGAATATGAAAGTCAATTTTTTTAAACATTTGCATGAAGTAATGAGTCCATGTCAAGGACGTTTGAAGCCTTGGTTGCATCCTTAATCCCCTCTGCACCCAGTGTCTCACATGTTCCTCCTTAGCTCTGATAAGAGACAAAAAGGAGCTCAAATAACCAAAGTTGTGCAGAATTCTGCGCTCCACCTATTAATCAATTTGTTTTGTTTTCCACCAGTGTGACAGTCTAATAAATGTCTCTGGCTACATCACAGCAATGTGTTGGATGAAAATGGTGTGGGTGGGCTGTGTTGTGCTGATACCTCAGCCAGCTGTCTGTTCACTGGAGGTTCCACAATTTAATTCACTCCCTTCTTCATCTCAGTTTCCTCCAACAAAATAAGTGAACATTAGCACCAACTATTCCCAAAAATTAGAAATGGTTCTCAAACATTAGAGTATGCATGTTTTGGCTACATGTCAGACAATCAAAATCATTCTGTTACACTGAAATGAAGAAAGTAAAATGTAATCAGTATTTAGCCAAAATTGGTCCATCATTGACCATTGGTCAAATGGCTTAAATCATTTTTTTAAATAAATTACAAGCCAAAATGAAAATGTGAAAATCTAGACTTAAACTTCCCACTATAGTTCACAACTCAAATGTCCGTAGTCACACTGGACTTATTAAATAAGGATTACATTTTAGCAGATCGATTCATAGTAATTGCAATTACAGAGTAAACAAGGATTTCTTTTGTTGTGAATATCATTTTGATTAGAACTCCTGTCTGCTGCCTTCTCTCCTCTCATCCTTAGTTCTCTCCTTTTGTCCACCCTCACCCTCTGTTGTTAACTTCAGTGATTGACAGCAGCATGTGCTGCTGGAGCTGCAGAGTTGTGCAGCTGGAAGTATATCATCTGCAATTTTAGTTGGGTAAATATAGCAGACAGTCTTGTCAAGCAAAGAGATAAATTGTTGTGGGAAAGGAAGTATTGCCTCTCTTTTCTGAAAGCAGGGGCGTGAAAAAAAGTTTCCTTAAACTCTTGGAAAATGTCGAGTCTTTTTCTCTAGACTTCAGAACAATGAGAGCACAGTTGCAGGAGGGTGCTGATGATGGACCATGTGTCCTAATGCCTCAGTTCCATTTTGCTCACTTTATCTCTACAAATCAAGCCCAGGAAGCGGGATCCCGTGTACACATTGGATGGTCTGGTTTGGACTGGGTCTGATATCTAATGCTCCGTTTCTAACCTCATTCGACCCGTGTAATTGACTGCTCTTCACAGCTTTGTGGCCCCACAACCGACTTATGGTGGACTTATGGTTGTTCACGGTTCTGTAGAACTTTGTCTCTTTCTGTATTGTTAAAGATAGTGACACAAAATGTGTTCACAATATTAGACATGACTGAAATCTTCAAGAAAGGCTAAGTATACTTTGATCACTGCAATGTTGAAGACTCCAATCACTTAGTTTCATTCTTGGTCACATGGACATGACAAATCTCTCTTAAAGCCTGTGATAAGTAAGACAGTCATGGGATATTTGGGGTTTTTGGAAACTACTCGATAGTACATTGTATTTCCCTAATTTGCTGTACTAGTTATTTTGACTATTGGCAGAATATCAAATATTGTATTGTTTCCCTATCAAAATCACATACAATACCTTCAATATTGCACTGGTGATTTTTTTTTTGGCTCCTGCCTTTTCAACTGGATGGCTGAACATCGTGATGGTTGTTTTTTGCAGTTTTGTCAATTTTGCAACACCGCCGCCACACGTTTGTCCATCCGGATCATCGTAAACCAGACAAATCTGTGTCAGAGTCTAGTTGAATTATACTGTGGATTTATTTCTGTACTTTACCCCAGACAAAGGAGAAAGAGCCTTTGATTCAGCCATACATTTTGTGCTAACTTTTTTTTTTTTTACACATTTGTACCTTTTTATGCAGGAGTCACTGAGGCTCATCCTCTCAATTCTTGACTTGACCCTCCTCCCATCAAACCCCTTTGCTGCAGCGAACAGACCCCCCCCCCCCTCCCCCACAAGTCTGCTCCTAAATCCCTTCATTTTTATTCATACAAATACAGGTTTAGAGCCCCTCGTAGCCCCTCAGATACAAAGCCGTAGTGGCAGCTTGACTGACAGCTTTCTCCCTTTTATCCAAACACTAACGAAATTCACAAGCACATCTCTAATTGACCTGATCACAAGCACAGCTTCAGTGGTGGATATCTGGTGTACATGAGTGGATTTGCAGCATGAACATTGTTGGCTATGATTTGATTACTCTAAAGCTGACCTTTACCATAATTATCTTGCTTCTCCCCAAAGCTTCACTGACAATAGAGTTAATTTGAGGTGGAATAATGAGTATGACAAATAAATTAGTAATTACGTTTTTAGTAGTACACTACTAAAAAAACAAAAATGTAACTTAAGCAAGTGTTTTTTTTTACTGTTAATAACGCATTTTTGTCAAATGACACTGTTTTGTAGTGTCCTATTTTAACCTCTGCAAAATACAGAAAGCTAAAGTTTATCACAAATATACCTGAAATAGTCAGCAGCTGCACTTAAACAAGGTTTGATTATTGCCCTAATGATTCAAAAAGTCATTAAGACACATTTGACTATGGCAGTAGAAAAACTAGCAGGTCATAATTCTACTTTTAAAATGTTAAGAAAGGATAAGGCACACCAACTTCAAACCATTTTTTTTTACTGAAACCAAAGATCACCCATACATTTTTTTATGAGTAGCTACTGCCCATTATATAGTTCTGTACAATAAAAATAAAACACTGTCTGCGTCAAAAAGTTCCCCTCTTATCCTTTCATGATTGACCTCCTCACTAATTCTGCCCTTTTTACCATCATGTCTGTCATCGAGACAGAATGCACACATGCTGTGTCCCCCTCTGCCTCATTTCAAGGTCGAGCATGTGTGTTGTGCTGCGGCACTGCTGCAGTCGTTGTCAGGCAGTCACTGGACGGCCTCCACGGGCTGCACCTTGAGTGTTTGGGAACTAGACATGACCTTTTATCCTCCTGCGTTCTCCCACCAATCCTTTTCCTCCTGCCACCTGATCTTCACTCATATATCACTTCCCAACTGAAGCAGCACAAGGCAGTGAGCCGGCAGCTGCCGAGGACGAGGAACAGTA